TAAGAGCCTATGACCCAAAGCTTATGCAACCCACATGGATGATAATATGCATAACCTCCCATGTTCTTAATTATAAGGCTCCACCTCTACATCTCTAAAGGAAATAATTCTCAACAATCATCCCAGAGTCTGTGACAAATAGTTACAATAACGTATGGTGCCTTATTGACCTCTCAATCAATATAACTAATTTGTATTAGATTAGATACTTTTGCATGGTTTCGAAGTTTAGCTACCAGAGGCTTTTGGACAGAATTTAATTTATCCAAGCCATTAAAAAAGGCGATATAATACACATGGCTCATGTCACTTTAGAAAATTTTATTCAACCAACTAAAAAGGATGACACAATGCACGAGATTCCTATCATTGTAAGGTCCGGAGAAGATCATATATTTATACATCCTTACTCTTATAAAGAGAGAGACTGTTTTTACTACTTGAACTCTCGATACCTAAGTCATCACAATAAAACAGCTTTACTGTTACGCCAAAACCCACCCGCATTCAAGTCACTAGTGCACCATATTATAATTTGTGGGTCTTGTCTTGTGGGTGTCTCCACATATAGCCAATTAGTTTTGACTTAAATGGTTGAACAAGCCAATGCATGGCTTGTTCCTCTTAATTACTATGCACAGTCCTTTTCCCTTTCTCCTTATATTATGATCCAGTGATGTGATGATCGTGCACATTTCTTGCATGGTTGTACTTCTTCTAACTCAATCTCGAATTGAAGACAACACAGATCTTGGTTTTCATTACACTTCAACTAATCTGAATATCTTTAGTGGTTCTGGGATCCACAAAAGAATATCATACGTACATTGGGGTGGTTGTGATTTCGAATGGGGCCTGTCCAAAGACCGGTAGAGAATGGACGTTCGTGCTCTGGGCACATATTTGAAAAGCATTACAAAGGACTGATATTCAAATGTCAGTGTCTTCAGTTACAATAGCGGTACTCATTTGAAAATTTTATGTTTTTTATTGCATGGAGATATGGACACATTGTGGGGAGGAGGAACTATTTTCAACATGCATTCATTTACAATGTACAAGTACAACCCGTGATTTAGTGATTATTATCTCAAAGTTTCAAATTTTAAGTCATGTAAACGATACACTGTTTGATTTAATATAAATAGTTATATGCGGGGTTCGAATTTACAGAATAACAATAAATTCAAAAAAAATATGGTTAAAATGTTTTTTAGTCATTAGAAAACTAACCTCTTGTGGCCAATCATGGCCAAACTTGGGATTGGGACTCAACTAATCAGTCTCTCTCGGTCATGAAACTAGTAGCTAGTGTATCAGACTCCCAGCCTTTTCTTTTTCTTTGAAAACAACTTGGTTATGTCCTCATGTGTGCCATTGGGCCCATATGCATTCAGTTATTCCATACCCATGTCTAACCTGGTTGTTGTGATTAATTATCACAGATTAGATAGATCAACTAGAACTTTGATAACTTGTACGGATAGTCCAACAATATAAAATTGAATTTCAACAAACTATAAGTCCGGATGCTTGAGATTTTTCTTTTTTTATCGTTAGAAAAGAAAAAAACCTTGAACTTGGGTAAGTGAGCCTGGCATACCACTGTAGTGAATCAGTCGCTCGTCCGATCAAAAGAATTAGTCACTCCCAGAGACCGCAGTGTGTGTGTGAGAGAGGGAGAGGGAGAGGGAGAGAGAGAGAGAGAGATAAAGATGTGGGCAGTAACATGAAGAATATATGTGAGTGGATTGACGTGGGTGTTTGTGCTTTATGACGATAGAAAAATGGACAGCCAAGAATTGACACCAATGGGACCCTGGTCGACATGAAACCAGCAATGGGCCCCACCGCCCTGCATAAGCCTTGTCTCGTCGTGGGGCCAGTGCCACCATAGTGGTGAGTCCGTGTGTATGCCTGAATTTCCTTCTAAATCATCATTCTTTTTTTCTGGTCTGGATATAAACATCATCATCATCGATTGATCCAGTGAATATTTTTACCTTTTTTTTTAAAAAAAATAATCTAGTGACAACTAGGTATTTCATATTTTTTTTTTCTCCATACAAAAAGTTCGTGCTTACTAAGGTTAGCATATTAATATCTTATTAATCTCAATAAATATTGGGTCTATTATTAATTTAATAATTCTTAAATTAATAAATTAAATATAATAATATTTCTCTTATTTTTAAAAACACAGACCATAATTATAAATAAATAAATAAAAGTTAGGGGCCCATGGGGTGATACTGTTTTTAGTGGTATTCGCATAACGAAAGCGTGACAAATGAAGCGTAAAGCTTGTCTCTAGCTTGGACTTTACCCTCATCTTATCGATCCTTCTTTGTCACCGCCTACTATGCTGCGTTATGGTCCCCACACACTTCTCCACCACGTGTTGATCTTTCCTAGGTTTAAGAATTACACGTGTCGCTTAATCAAAGGCCTAATTTTCAGTTCCCGTTCTCCTAATACGTCATCAATAGTAGCTTTAATCCCCTGCCTTGCCATTGCATTGAAGCTTACAAAAGTCGAGTAAATATTCTTTTTTTTTTTTTGATAAATAAATTGAATGAATAATACATTGGATACATCAAAGTAAGATCATCTCCAATAAACTCTATATTCACAATCAATTCTCTATTTTAGAGAGTTAATTCCTAAACATTAACCTCTAATGATTCTCTAGAGAATCAATATTACTTTCTACTCTATAATTAATGAATGAAAACATTGGCACGTGTGCATTTTGCGTTAAATATTGTTCACTATAAAGACTATTTTTAATAAAATAGAGAGTTCTATTAAAAAAATTTACTCTTTATTTTAATTTTTTTTTATCAAAGATGTTTATTAAAATAAAAAAACACTATTAAAGATGCTCTAAGAATGTGTTACATATCAAAGTTGTATAAAATTGAAACGAAATATATGTATAAAACCAATAATTTGCTTAAACCAAGTTTGTTAAATACAAGAGTAATGTTAGACTAATAAAAAAAAAAAAGGCCAACAATAGGGACCAAATGATGTGGCATTGTCATAATAACATTATTGGTTTCACTTTTACACATTTGAAATTAAAATTTTCCTTATTATGATAGGAGTAATGTTAAAAAACTTAAATGAAATTTAAAAAATTGTAATTCAAATGTATATTATCCTTTAGATAAGTGGGTTCCATTAATTTTTTCAGTAAGACCTATTTATTCTACACTCATCTAATGGATGATATGCATTTAAATTTTAATTTTTGAATTTCATTTGAGTTATGTAGCATTTTCCTTATGACAATGTCACATTATTTGATTTATCGTTTTGATCTTCGTTTTTTTTTATGGTCAATGTAGCACTACACTTTTTTTTTATTTTTTTGGGGGGGAGGGGAACCTCAAGAAGACAAAAGTCTTCATAAGATAAGGAGTATCATTAGAGTAAAGGTCCATTGGTGTAAGCCCAATGTAGCACTACACTTACGGATGCCATGGACCAGGTAAAAATTAGTATTCGTCTAAATCCGTCTCATTTGAACCAGGGATGAACTATACATATTGGACAGTGGACGTATGCGGGAATACCCGTACAAACTTGTGCAAGAATGAAGGCGGAGATGGACTGAATTTACAAGAGAGATAAACTTTTAATTATATTATATTGGATTATGTTGTAAATAAGGTTTTAATTATATTATGTTTTAAATAACAAATTTTTAATTATATTATGATATTTTATAATTATGTTAGATAATCTATAATGTTAGATTTATTTAAAATTGTGGATTATGTTGGCTTGGATTTGGTTGAGTAATGTGGACGGGGGTGGGGGCAGGAATTACAAATTTACCCGTGAACAGGGATAGGGATAAAAACTATACCATTAACAGGGTAGATCGGGGATAGACGAAATTTTTTTAAGCAAATACAGTGATAGAAACTACAGCCCCCGCCCCCGCCCCCGCTTCCGCTTCAATCCACTACCATCCGTAAGAGCAACTCCAATCACGCTCAATAAAATAACTACTTAAAATATATTTAAATATTGTATTTACTATTTTAGTTATCCACTTTTTAAAATTCACTTCAATCACGCTCTCTATTTTAATTGACTATTTCAACTAACTTTAACTAATTTTTCATAATATAATTTAAAATTTCAACTCAAAGCATGTATAATCATCAACCCAACCAAAATCATATTGTAATAATAATTATAATTAAACTTTAAATAATACAACGTAATGGCAATTTAACACTCATTCACTTTAAATAACAAAAATTAATTGCACAATACATCTCATAAATTTAAATTTTTTCCAAATACTTACATTAATATTTTTTAAGGGTCTAAATGTAAATATTCTATTATCCATAAAACTAAGAGAATTTTTAAAATTTGGGGGAGTTTCAGAATTTGTTAGGGTTTTCAGAATTTATAGAGAGAGAATCTTGCTAGTAAGAGGTGATGAGTGAAAATGGGGGAGGCAAAATAGCCAGTGGAATAGAGAGCATGTTGGAGACAAATTTTTTGAATTGACTTAACAAAATAGCTAAAAGATGACATTTATTGAATCCATTGGAGATACTTCTTACTGGACTAAACACAATTCAAATTGTTCAATTGAGTGATCGAACAACGGATAAGATCTAAATAGAGACATAGATGGATGCAAGACCCACTGATCACATATAATTTAGATTTAATTGATGGACATATATGCCTGTAATAGTATATGTGTATCTATAATTTTACATTATGATCATGAGTTCGATGCTTAAAATGATTTGATAGGTATATGTGACATAAATTAAACATATAATACCTTATTAGTTAATTGTGACATACTGGCGTTACATTTCATCTGGGTAATTGCTTCATGAAATAACATAATTTGCTATTTGGGACCATTACTTGGCATGCCATAGTATGGTCCCTATGGCCGTATAAAAGATGTGGTTGCCAACTCCAAGGTGCAACATTTGAGCGCTCTCTCTTTCTCTCTCTAATCTCTTGATGTTCTAACATGTTCTTCTCTGATAAATCTCTAAAATTCAGAGCATCATTAGGGTTTCAAATTGAAAACAAGGATATATATAAGTGATCATCAATCAATGGAGAGCACCGATTCATCCACAGGACCACCGCAGCCTCAGCTCCCACCGGGCTTTCGCTTCCACCCCACCGACGAAGAACTGGTTGTTCACTACCTCGAGAAGAAGGCCTCCTCCGTTCCTCTTCCTGTTACAATCATCGCTGATGTTGATCTCTACAAGTTTGATCCATGGGAGCTTCCAGGTAACATGATATTGTTTGTGTGCGTGTTTTTTTGAGTTATGCCTTTTTAATCAAACCAACTTCCAAGTTTTATAGACCATACATAGTATACAAACATAGGATGGTATTCGAATAGATATAATTTTGGTATTCTATTTTGTAAATTGGTTTGTGATGAGTTCTTTTTAATGCAACTCATCACGAGATTCGCTCCGTGTATCTTTTGGACGGGTTTTGAGTTTTATTGTAATGTTTTTTTTTTTCCCTAGGTATTTAAGATCATAGGCCATACTAATATGGGTGTGTGTATATATGTCTTTCAGCTAAGGCTAATTTTGGGGAACAAGAATGGTACTTTTTCAGCCCAAGAGACCGGAAGTACCCTAACGGAGCAAGGCCAAACAGGGCGGCGACTTCTGGGTATTGGAAGGCTACTGGAACTGATAAGCCGGTAATGACTTCCGGCGGGACTCAGAAGGTGGGTGTTAAGAAGGCGCTGGTCTTCTATGGAGGGAAGCCACCAAAAGGGATCAAAACCAATTGGATCATGCATGAATATAGGCTCTCCAACAGCAAAACCAGTACCAAGCCACCAGGGTGCGATGTGGGCAACCGAAAAGGCTCCTTGAGGGTAATTATATCTTTGCTTGAAGAGAGAGAGTATAAGTGCGAGTGTGTGTGTGTGTGTGTGTGTGTTTCTTTCACTTTTTATAACTTTTGAGTTTGGTGAAGTAATGAAAAAGTTTGATTGGTTTTATAGCTTGATGATTGGGTGTTATGTCGAATCTACAAGAAGATCAATACCCAGAGACCGATGGAAAACGACAGGGATGACTCCACGAACGACATGCTTGGATCAATACCAATTGGCCATCAAAATCCAAAACTGCTCCAATTAAAGGCCTCAAACTATGGTGCATTGATCGAAAATGAACAGAACTTAATGGAAGGTATGATGAACAGTGATGGGTCTTTGTCTCAGTTGGCGTCATCTAGTTCAAAACTGCAGATTCCGATGGTCACCGGAGCTTCTTCCGGCCTACCAGTGAAGCGTGCGCTCCCGAATCTATACTGGAACGATGAAAGCATGACCGGCTCTCAAGCTACCAAAAGATTTCTTGCAGATAATAACGATGAAAGGGTTGCAAGAACAGATGACAACAGTTCTATTGCCAGTTTGCTCAGCCAGCTTCCTCAAACCCCTTCATTACATCAACAAGCAGCCATGTTGGGGTCTCTTGGTGATGGGGTTTTTGGACAACCCTATCAACTCCCTGGCATGAATTGGTACTCCTAGATTGGATTCGAGATCGGTACGAGAATATACGTTACTTATTTAAAAAGGCGGCCCAGTGCACAATGTTTCTGTCAAAATACGAGGGTTTTTGCCCCAGATACGAAAACTCTCTGGTTATATTAAATGTTATATTTATGCTCATCGAGGGATTGTTGGTTTGGGTATGGAGATTTTGTTGATAGGAAAAGGTTTGAAGATTTGTTAGATGGTCTACAGGTTCTTGGAGTGTCTAGTCTAATTTAGGTGTCCAGTATATAGTTTTACAGTGAGTTTTAGTATATAGTTTTACGGTGAGCTTTAGATTATAAATCATTACATGCATATCTTTGGTATTTTGATGTAGAGATGCAAAGAAATAGTAGTTTTCATGTAGAAAAACTAGAATAGATAATTTATTATACTATTTTGGTCAAGGACTCATCAATTGTAATCCAAAACCTTGCAGATTGTATGAAGAGTATAGTTTTAAGTTTGTTTGTTTGTTTCAAGTCCCTTATTTTTCGACACCGACACGGGCCATGAATTCTGATTTTTTTCCCTACACTCAGGCATGGTTTTTGGGTTCTTCACATTGAATAGAAGCCTTATTCCTGTTGTTGAAGAACTTACCATCTTTTAATTATCTCTATCTTAATATCTATGATCTTCATGCTTTTTATCGTGACTTGATTTTGCATATTGTAGTTAAAGTCAGTTGCTGTTGGATGTTAACCTTTGAATTTCACATCTCAGTTATTTACCGAGTAATACTATGTAATCTAAATTTGTAACACAAATTTACATCACAAATCAACAAATTAACAAGAACTATTAGATCAATAATTCTCATTTAAAAAAGTTGATGGGCATAAACCCTTTTGATACCAAAACTATTTATGACTACTTAATAACCCAATTTGCTAAACTAAGTAATCCTTCTCATTGATTTGACTATTATTCCATGAAAAATACTACATGATTCAAATGAAATTCAAAAATTAAAACTCAAATACATATCATCCCTAAGATGAGTGGGTTCCACTAAAAAAATTGATGAGACTCATATCATCCAAGGAATGATATGTATTTAGATTATAATTTTTTGAACTTCATTTCGATTTTATAACGTCCCTCTTATTTCATTATCAGTTGGAATCTACAACAAATTCAATAACAGTAATAAATTAGAGTCAAATAACATTATTGTATGCATCATAATGACCGGCAGTTATTATGGACTAATCTAAGTATTTGGTCATACACTGTTATTGATAACTATCAATACTATCAAGTGTTATTGTCATGCAAAGCATATTCCACACTTTCCATATAACATTTAAAACCTACCTCTAATTTTTATTTTTATTTTTTTTGTAATATTAACTCCAAGCCGTGTGTGGCCTATAAATGATTACGGACATTTACGTATAATGAGAATTTTTTTTTTCCTGGTAAGTAAGTGAGAAATATTTTGGAAAATCTTATATATAAGAGATTTTTTTATTTTTTTTGGCACTTCGTCTTTGACGTATATACTTTCAAGAGGTAAATCTAGAATGACTTACAAAGCAAACAAGTAAAAAACTTACCCGTAACTTCAACAAAAGGGAAATAAAAAGGATCAAAAGTCATAGGCAAACCTTTCGAGTGGAGAAAAAAAATAAAATAAAATAAAAGGTCCTTTGCATTTACTTCACTTTCTGTGTAAAAAGAAACCTAAATATGCTTCCATGTGCATATCTTAATGGTATCAGTTTCTCCATGGTTAGACCTTCTTCACATGGAAAAAGAGTTTATGCATTTGTAGAAAGCAGTCATGCAAATTTTTATTTTTTTTTTGTCGGGTACTGTTACAAAAAAGGGGAACAACAAGGTTCGAATCCGCGAACTTAAGTTCATGTAACGAGAGCGGTAGTCATTAGGCTAACAGCAAACTTCGCAAGCACTCGGAAAATTAAAAAATAAAACTTGAGTATTATGCCGTGCACGACATTTTGCACATTAAAAGATTATGAGATCGTCACTTTGTCCCTTCAAAGATTAAAAATATGTGATTCGTCCTATTAATACTTTGTTTCCTCTTGACTCTAACCTTGGTTTTATCTTCTAATTTTCTTGGTAAGAAATGGCTAAATATTACTCCAAAAACCAGAACTCTCAAATGGTGAAAACAAGAGGCTGTGCCTCACAAATGGCTTTCTCTTTGCTGAATTTGGGGCCATCCCTCTGTCATCCAATGGAATCATTTTCAAATCAACCACCCACATCTTGAATATCGTTAATTGCATTCCTTTATGAGAAAAGAGTACAAAAGAGCTTTAGCACATGAAAATATCTTTTACTTCCTTGATTTGGGAATAGAAAAGGCCACAATCAAATGCACTAATATTTCTAAAGCTTTTTCAAACCCTAGGATCCTTAACCATCAATTTGATGTATTTTGTGTTCACATTTATAAGAACAAACACCATTGTTGTTGGGATATGATCTAAGAACATAATTTGAGGATTTAATGTATTGTAACCATTGGATTGATAGTGAGGACCATTCAATACTGGGACCCATTGATAATAGACCTCACTATCAAAATTTACCTACTTATATATACATATACGTGTAAAATAATGGGATCTCCTTAATGACATTCCTTTCTCAGGAAATTGCGCAAAAGAACTTTCAAATAATTTATATCATTAGTTCATGGTTTAAAGAAAGACATACATTATACGTATACCCACGTAGATAAATGTCGAGTAATCTTTGCAAAATTGGAAAAAAAAAATCCGTGGCTTTCACTTTCATGCTTTTAGCATAGCTCATGACAAATTAGAAGGTGGTAAATAATCATGAGTGAGAAATAAACAAGGGAGAAATGGGAAAGGGTTGAGCTTTTAATTGGTGAGTCTCCATCCAACTAACCAAGGAATCTTTCCAAAATTTTAAGGCATAATGGAGATATTGAAATGGATGGGAGTAAGTAAAGAAGCTAATTATGGGTCGGTCCTATTAGGCCCTGGCCCACTTACTGTATATGATGCCCATAGCTCTTTAGCTGGCCCATTATTGATTTTCACAGTTACTAAAAGAAGGTAGTCAAGGCCCATTTGATGGCTGCACTGCGTAGCACCAGTCAAACTCACTAGTAAAGCCCCTTTGTTTGAAAAACAAATATTTAATTTAGTGGGCTCTATAGATTATACAAATAATTTTGAAATAATTTACCATTCTATCCATAACTCTATCCATTCCAATCCAAACCAATCTTATCCTATGTTTGGATTGGTGAATTATCTTAATAAAATTATACATTTTTCACATATACATAAAGACATATAAAAATAAAATATTAATTATGTATTAAACATACGTAATTGTAATACATGTTGCCTTATACAAAAATACAACAAAACATAAGACAAAGTGATGAATATGCGTTAACAATAATAAGTGAAATTAATGTTGCCTTATATAATACATAACAAAAAGCGGCAACATAAAATTTGAAACTTTGATCCTATTTTCCATACAATTTAACTAAATTCACCCCATTCAAACAAAGAGAAGTTAATATTGTTGTCCACACTATAGCAACACAATGTTAATGGAATGGAATTTGTTTTGATAGAAATTAGAATATGCTTGGAAATTCTTTTATGTGGGATGTATTAAAAGAGATAATAAATGAAACCCTAGTTATGAGAAGATAGGTGAGCTTGTTATTAAAAGGGTACATAACAAACATGAAATCAAACAAATTAAATCAATAAGTGATACTAACATGTACCTCACTAAAAAAATTCATATTAAAAAAACTCTTTTGTGCGAAGTGAACGAGAAGAAATAGTGAATAAAATCTTAGTTTTGAGAAGATAGAAGGTGAATTTGTTTACTAAAAAGGTGTGTAAAACATAGGGTGACCTTAGTTAAAATGGGGTAGGTATAGAAGGTGTGAATTTAATAGTTTGATTATAGAAATTTTAATGGGATGCAAATGAATATTTGTGAGGTGGGAACAGCCCCACCCAAAAAAATATTAGGCAGCATAAATTCGGCAGAAAAGTTAGCTACTAGTCATAGAGGAATTAGCGGGAGGCATAGATGTAGCAGAAATAGAATAGTCAACAATCAACTAGTAGAGAAGTTGTCGAGAGAAAGAAGAAATCACTTGATAGTAAACCACAAGAAACACCCATAACGAACTTTGTCTTTACTTTCTTATTCTATGAACATAGAAACACCCATATAACAGATAATTATATCGACCATAGCGATATAGACATAGGACTGTGGGTGTGACAACATCCACCGCAATGAGTTTGTCATAAAATTCATTTTCATGAATTCGTCAACCACAGGAAGCTAGGTATTACATTAAGCAAGTAAGACGATGACTTCGTCATAGANTATATCGACCATAGCGATATAGACATAGGACTGTGGGTGTGACAACATCCACCGCAATGAGTTTGTCATAAAATTCATTTTCATGAATTCGTCAACCACAGGAAGCTAGGTATTACATTAAGCAAGTAAGACGATGACTTCGTCATAGAGTTTGTCAGCAAATAAGTTGTACAGTGACTTCAACTTCGCATTTTACTTCTACTTCTACTTCGATTCTTACGCCTACTTGGACTGTGTCTTTCAAGCTTTTGCTCACATGGTTCTAACGAAATAATAATGCAGATTAGCATCTCGAAGGAAATATTGACAAAGACCGTGGTTTTGATCCATAGTGAAAACGAGAGAGTGGGGAAGAAGAGAGAGAAACAAACAGAGAGGAGATAGGATAAAAACCATAAAATATTAATTATAGGGGGGTATTGTGTATATCTTCAGAGGAGTGACTAAAATCAAATCTATGGCATATTCAAACCATCTCTTCGAAATAANCAGAGGAGTGACTAAAATCAAATCTATGGCATATTCAAACCATCTCTTCGAAATAAAAACAATAAAGTTGCTCATATCAATTAACAAGGTACAGTTACAATCACTAAATAGAAGCGTGACCCACTAATCCAATCCAACGATTCACATNAAAAACAATAAAGTTGCTCATATCAATTAACAAGGTACAGTTACAATCACTAAATAGTAGCGTGACCCACTAATCCAATGATTCACACAAGTTTATAAAAAAAAATTATTGAAATGAGCACAGTTGTATTTTAAACAACTAAATGCCAAAGCTAACTCTTTGAACATAAAATTGTAGGTGACCCTTTCAAGCAAAATGGGTCGAGATAAAGGGAGTAAGAGCAACTCCAATGCATTTTCTTTTCATTTTTCTCCTCAGTACATCCCCTATTGTAAATTCAAGTAAGACTCATTATATATAAGTGAGACACTCTCTTCAAACAAAAAGAAATATAGAGTAAGAAACTATTAGAGGGAACCTGGATACCAGCTATACCACTTCGTAGTCTTTAAGCCTTCACAAAATGCAAAGAATCTATGAAAAGAAGGCCATGGAAANGGAACCTGGATACCAGCTATACCACTTCGTAGTCTTTAAGCCTTCACAAAATGCAAAGAATCTATGAAAAGAAGGCCATGGAAATAGTTCAAAATCATGCATACACACTCGCATGATTACATGCTTTCCTATATTTCTTTTAAGCAACCCTGCCATTCAATGATTATCCAACAAATTACATTCCTTTCCTTCTATATTTTGCCAAAGTTCTTGAGAAACAGATTATTGTGTTGAAAATAGATTTTTGATGTATTCTGCCCAAGTTCAGCCTTGAATAAATGACAGAGAAGGGTTGATTTGTACAAAAACTAACTTAGCAGTTCCTAACACAACTTTTTCTGTAGTATATGCTTGACGAATCAATAAAAGTTACATTGACACAAAGTGATATACACAGATCTGTATACGTACAGAGAGAAGATGACACAGGGTTTACATAAACTACACGTTGAGTCCAAAGGAAGGTGAGAATAATTATAATCAACATTTCCAGCCACATTACCTCATTGCCAAAAATTTCTCGGCCCATGGTCCATTGTAAAAAAGGATTTCATCTTTCAGTGTTAAAGACATTTTTTTGTCTCTTCTTCTTGCCTATGGTTTTCAATTTGTTTGCTCCTAACAAGAGGAAGTTCAAAAAGAGAAGCACATCAGCATCATATAATGCAGCTCTTCAATGGCCTATAATCCTCCAATCACTTATTTACCTCGGGAGGGCCTATTGATGGAGAATCGACGTTTGCTTCTGCTGGTGCCTCTGANATGGCCTATAATCCTCCAATCACTTATTTACCTCGGGAGGGCCTATTGATGGAGAATCGACGTTTGCTTCTGCTGGTGCCTCTGAGATTCTTTTTTCTGATTTCTCATTTGAATAACTAGCAAAGAGAATGTTAACCAAAAGTTAAATGTCGCAACAAGAACAATCAACCGATGCAAGAATTCAACATATGAGAAGATGCAAATTGGTAGTCAGGAATTTTCAAGCCAACTAAGCTTTATCAGACAGTTGCTATTGTCAAGCGGAAAATGAGAGAACATGAAGTTTCTAGGAGTCCTCACAAAGATTCATCGACACTCTCAATAAGGTGATCAACATGCAGCAGGAAACTTATCTTTCCACCGCATGCATGTGTGTGTGTGTGTGTGTGTGTGTGTGTGTGTGTGTGTGTGAATGTCCCCGGAAGCAAACTTGTATGATGATTGATGAAATGTACCCTTAGGAGGAAGCAAGAAACTACTTGCAGTTTTATTAGCTCCACCCGACAGAGACCTTAGATGTGACAAATATCGCACATACTTGATCAAGTGTCTAGAGATTTGATTACTAGACTTATAGATTGGATAATTGAATGGCTGCTTCATGTATGCATGGCTGCTTCAAATCATATCCTTTCAAAAGGAATTGTTCACAAGGTTAAGTGCTCAATAATTACAAAACAGATTCAATACTTACGTTGAGAGTATTGTTACCCAAATAAGCTCCACACAGTCAACCCAAAGGAGCCTTTGTTCAATAGGGACAACGCCGTAGGTAATGAGGTGAGCAAATGGCCAAAGCTTCCAACCAGCCTGAGAAACCAGCCACACATCAAAGGACACTGTTAGTTGTACAACAAATGCATATGCCAATAACAAGTTCAAACTCAGCACAAACCCCACGTCACCCCCAAAAAAAAAGAGCTTTGAAACTTAGGTGCATGTATGACAACATTAGAAGAACAAAACACTTTTAATGAATGAGCTAAATCCTATGTAGCAAATATCTGTCATCTTTCTTACAAGTGCCAGAAACACACAAAGGCCCCTGCAGCATGAATTGAATAAACTAAGACAGAGAAAACAAAAATAATCAACCAATTCTTTCATAGAAGGTTTGAGCCTGAGGTTTCCTGAAAATGAAGGCTTATCTACAAGTTTAGACCAGATTTAAAGTTCGACAAACAACTTTTATACTAATCATAAAGAAAAGGCAAACAGACCTTTTTACAGAGTTAAGTGGATCAATGACTATAAATGAATTCATAAATTGCATCTAAACATACACCACCATACAAGATCGAAAAACGAAACTACATTCCAATCATGAGACTTAGCATTGGAGAAGTGCTCAAAAAACATAAAAACCACCCGAGGAGCATCCATAGATTGAAAGGTTTGGATAAGGGTCATCACCCTTCCCATCCCTCTCACTAAAGAAAAATTTGTTTTTTCATCTTCTCAGAAGTATGACTTCAAAATTCAAGAGCGCAAAGATATAGAGAGAGAGCATAAGATCTCTTACAGTCAACATGGGCCAGAATGTTGCTTTCAATTCAGTAAAGATACTGATAGGGGATTCAAAACGCAGAAGTCCCAAAACCGCATAGTAAATGCTGTTCCAAGCAGCTGCCCATGCAGTTTGATCAAAGACCACTTTAGCGGGAACAACCCACCAATCTTGGAAAGGAAAAAGGGCCTGAGGATCAGGGGATGTTGTTTCAGGCTTTACACATAAAAAAAGCTATACGCTATCAGTGGTAAAAAATTGCAACCATCATGAAATACCTCACAGAACTGGTAATAATAGTGAGAAAGAGATCCATGCAGCATAAAGCCAACCAGACCCGATCTAAACATACGCACACGGTCAAACTCAAAGAGAGGTTTCCCTTCATAGCACTGGAAAGATTATCAGATAGCTAAGTGATCAGTGTAGAAAGAATCAACCAAAAACAACAAACAATACTATAACAATTTCTTCATCAAACCTACTAACCTGCGCAATCCAATCCCCTAGAGAGTAAACCACTCCGCTTATCACCATTTTTGCCAAAACTGGGTTTGTTCTAAGAGCTTCCTCGTATGCGCTCCAGTTATGTTGGGGTGCATATCTGAGTATCTCATATAGGGTCCATCCCTAAGAAAGAGAGAGAAAGAAGATGAGTTCTGGCTTGCAACTTATTTATTATGGTCTCAATTTCAGATATAATTAAGAAGAAAATCATCAAATAAATATTCGTCATACTAAGCCCTGACAGTCATAAACTTTTCAAGAAAAGGACTTCCCAGATCTAGATATATGTTCAAAGTTGCAATTAATTGATACTAGCATACTGCCCAAATCATAAAACATAACAATAGGGAAAAGCCTATTAAAAGCACAATATATCCAATGACAAAAGAAGTCAACGCCCAAATTATCTTGTTCACATTTCAATCTAATTGGAGGTTAATGTTGAGCTCATTTAAAGATGTCTGACAGAGGCCCGAGGCATGTGGACTAAGGTCTAAACTGAAAAAACATAGACTCAGCCACTATCAGTAGGGAGAAATGTCCAACTCAGTGCAGCAGAACTAACACAAACCCCACCCTTTATTTCTTCAAGAAAAACTCAAAAACAATACACATGAATAAGTTCAATTCTACAAGATAATCCCTTAACTTTGTCTAATTTATCTTTAAAAGCAACACACATCATGACTCCACAAACTATAACAAACACTTCAAAAAAACCTTTTCCTAGCCGTTGCAGTGAGCTACACAAATCCTTTTAAAAGTATTCTACTATTTCAGAGGACATCACTAATTAAACATAATTTTTCACAAACCGTGATTAGAACCTTCACTACCTTCTTTTTCTCCTTTCAATCATCCTCGTAAAGCCTTAAGGAAGCACCAAGTTCACAGGGAACAATCATCTTAAATCATTGTTTGTGACTTCCAGCTCTAGTTACGTAGTTGTCACTTGTCATGTAAAATTCTTAATTCCATTTAATTAGATCTCCATGCCGGAAGAAACTTTAGTAGCTCACAGCTTTCTTGATACACCACCTCAAGATAATGAAAAATTATCTCAGGAATAGCGTCATGAACAAAGAGGCACCAGCATATCTCCACATTGTGTACAAGACAGTCATCCTAACAACCAGTTTCAATTCTACTTATCCATCTGCAGACTACCATCAGTATCGAATAAATGCGCACAAAAGTCCACAGACACATTAAGCAGCTATGGGAACACCAGATAGAGGGACAAAAACAACAGCATATCAAGAAGAATCAATAAGTGACATAATATAATCAATCAGAGAATCGTTAGGCGTAAAGAAACCAACTTCCTAGAACAAAAAACAGATTTTGAACAGCAGTAATATTAAAAACAGAAGCCTTTGCAATCTCCTTATTATATATATTTGTAACGTGTGTGCAATCGAGAATCTGGATGGTATATCTACATCAGAGTAACTGGGAATTTGGGATAGAAATATTTATGTCGTGTTAGTGATTTTTAACACGACAACCGAATTTTAAGGAGGCTTTGAAGGTATGTCAACAGCGAAGCCTTAAACCCAACAACCATATATTCAATATCCAATTCCTATACACATGAATCTTGAAAATTCCACCTAATGTAGATGTACAGAATAGTGGACTCACATGCCAGTAGTCTTGGTCTATGGTTAGCAACTTCGTGATTGCAAAAGTACTCGCAGCAAGAACAATAGTGGCGTTGATGGATCTATCAATCCACTTCTCCATACTTTCCTCTTCACTATTCCCACCAACAGAAGAACTAGCAGAGGAAGAGAACCCAGCGCCCTCAAACGATAACATACCTTCATTCCCAAACCCACCCACCACCTGATTCACTCTCCCCCCTCCTCCTTCAACCTCTCTCTCTATCCCACTCACCACACCGTCTTGCTGATCGGTGCAGTCACTGCTCTGCACTGGAATTACATCGAGTTCTTCGGCCACTGAACCGACCACCACCAAGTCTTTCCGTTTGGTTCTTAGTAAAATTTGGGACTGGTAAGTGGGTTTGATGGTTTTGAGGTGGGGAAGAGAGGGTTTGGGGTTGGGATCTTTGATGGGTTTGGAGAGAGAAAGGAAGGTTTGGGGTGCAATGGAGGCCATTTAGGGGAGGAAACGGAGTGATCGGTGATCAATCGATAATCGACATGGTTTCTCCGAATCAAACGTGTGGTAGATAGGGTGGTTTATATATGAGCGGTGTTGAGATTGGTTTAATCATGTGTTGCGCGGTGTATGATTTTGTAATACTGTCGTATATTTGAGTGAAAATCGATATATATAAAGAAGGTACAAAATATAGTTTCAAAATGGTCGGAACGTTTTCGTTTTTAAGAATACCGAAACAAAACAATGATAAAATTGAAATATTAGAATTTTAAGGTATTTCATAATATTTCGAGATGTATTATAATATTTCAATGTATTTGTCCAATTGTTTTGAAATATTTCAAGGTATTTTAAGATATTTTGATATATTTCAATCAATATTTTAGAAAAATAATTATTAAATTTTTTATTTTTTTCATTATATTTTTGAAACGGATCGAAATATTTTTGAAACACATCAAAATATTTCTGTTTCCTACGTGACCGAAACAATACACTGAAACAAAATTTTGATCCTTGTATACAAACGAGATCTGCACTCATTAACGAGAATGATTCGGTAAATAAGAATGGTTTGATAGTTGAATTTGATTTTTGATAACTTATACTCCTTAAAGGATAATCACTTTTATTTTTTCGAATATATGTTCTAAATTCTATTAGATTATAGTGATGAATATCCAAATTCGAGAAATCAGTCGGTATAAATCTAGATATTCAATAATATATATATATATAAGGATGTCGTCCTAACAAAACAATAAAAAGTGGGGTCTTACTGATCCAGAACTACCATTCCAAGTCCTAGCTACTCCACATGTTTTATGTGGGCAAGAAAATCACACCTCTGAAGTATCTCTTGAGGGTGGTTCTGGATCATGTTATAGAATAAACAGTTGGCTTCGTTTTAAGCCATTCAAGAATCTCAAATGTCATACTTTTCTTCTTTGTTGTACTCTGAAATTAAATGAGGTATAGGATTTTATATATATGTATATATATATATATATTTATTTATTTGTGGCCCATGTATAATTCATGTCCTTGTCAGTTGTCCGTCAACTTGATCCTATCAGAAACTTTGAGATCGATTGAGATTTGAAATGTAGTTTCAGATCATAGATATCAGTGGAAGAAATATAAGGGTAAAGGATAATAAATATTGAATAGTGCTCCAATAGACAATGAACTTGATTCAACAAGGATGAGATGCACTTAGGGGGCAGACCAATCACACCCTTTTCTTTTCTTTTTTGTTTTTTTTGTGCATAGGATGATTAAAAACAAAAACACATAACTCAAAAGTCCCGCTGGTCATATCAGCTAACAAAAAATTAGCCAACTGGGAAGGAGGAGTATCAAGCTCCGCAAACTTTTCCATTTGTTGGGCACCAAGATTGGTCATGGCGTCAGCACACTGATTTCCTTTCCTACAATTGGGATATGCATCATATCCATTTAACCTCCTGCAATGAATAATCAAAGCTCTGTTCAGGTGGGTGGTCTTTGGGTTCGCAGAGAGGAGCTTTGCAACATCGAGTGAATCTGTTTCAATAATAATTTGAGTGATGTTCCTCTTTTGAAAGAGTTCCAGACCTCTCTGAATAGCCCTCCGGTTCCGTCTGAAAACTTGTGGAGTCTTCCATCCTCCCATAGAAGCCCACTATCCATTTGCCTTGACCAATCCCACCATGTATAAACGGAAAATCAGTCATAAATTATGAGTTTTATTTGAATTAATAATAAGTAATTTACCCTTATATAAAATTAAATAAAGACTATTTTAAGAGGTTATAGCTCCCTAAGGTGATGTGATGTCATAATTGATATATAATATTGTCTGATGAACCTCACATGTATATATATTCGATTATTATTTGCCTACATTCAATATGGTAGTTACTGGATTATCCGGAGTTTGTTAAACTCATTTTGTTTTATTATTTGATGGACATACCATGATGATACCGACATACATTGATGATAAGTCGGTAAAACTATAATAGAGAATATTCACTTGCACCCTTTAGATTTTTCAAAAGTCTAATCCCATCACCAGACACCAACACATCTAACATTATAGAAAGGAAATTAGGAGAGAGAAAAAAAAACAAGTAAATAAAAAACAGAAGTTTGTGGCAACATATCTTTTTATGGAACTAACCAACCAATGAAGCTATCATTGCAAAACAAACAAATCAGAAACATTTTCTTCTTCTGAGTTTTGTTCAGTAACTAGAATCAGAATTTAGACAGTACAACTTGCTGAGAACCAAAACAAAAAACAAACAACAGAACCTGCAGAGAAAACCAGGTTGATAAGATTTAAAAAGAACAAAAAAGTGAAAGAATGAAAGAAACTCCTGGGCTCAGAAGACAGCATGTTAATTCTCATCCGGCAATATGAGGCGATCTTGGCCTTCCACTAGCTTTGCAGATTGAATGACATCCCCGGTTTTTATCTGAGGAAGGATATCTCTCCCAATGGTTGTGTACCTGTACATAATTGCTATCAGCTTTAAGTAACCAAATCATTTTCTTTTTTTCAAGAAAAATACCATATCAGTGATTGCAACTAAAATTAAGGGCATACCCAAAGACAGAAAATTGACCCTCCTCGAAAGACAACCCTCCTAAGCCAGACTGTTGGATATGAATCATATCAGATGTTTAAACTGGAAATTCTTTTCAGATGTATAAGCTAAATGTCACTTTTAGATGAAAAATTATGATGACAATTATTGAATTCAAATCGAGTCATCCTATGAAACAAACACATCAAATACTACTCACATTCCTCTTATCATATAGATAAAAGAAGAACTGATATGGAGATGAGTACTCCTCAGACACATCACTGTGTGCCATAGCAACTGCACCATAAACTGATAATGGAAGCACAGGCAGCTCTCCATCCTTCCATAAATAAAACATTAACTATTATTCGCTGGACAAAAATATCATGTTGAGAGCCATCTCAAAAGTTTGAGAACAGAATATATGTGAACAAACCTGCACACTTAGAGTTGTTTTGTACAGCGGTTCAAACTGTCCAGATGGCATTATTTCTAAGGGAACACCATAACCACTGTTCTTTCCAATCCCACTGTCTGAGAGAATTGCTTGGTCAGTACAGCTGAGCTTCACCCCGTTATATGCCCCATCAACCACCTATGTCACAATTAAGAATTATTGGTGAGTTCATTGGTGAGAGATCACAAGCCCACTCAAAGAATTTGGGTGGATGAGGTTTTAACAATTTGCAATTACCTTTATTTTGAGACTTCAGGAGGACAACAAGCCAGAACGTTGTCAAAAGGCAATATGAAAATACAATACTATAGCATCATAGCTATTCAGAATCACTTGTATGAGGTCAACAATGAAAAGGCTCATAAGGATTAACAGTTATCTATTCTCTTCATGCATATGTATATCTCAACATTAGTTTCACACATATATTATACACGAATTGATTATCTTGCCCTTAAAGTGTTCCAGTGTTTGGTATCAAATTCATTCTTAGTGTGTGTATGTGCGTGAAGGTGATACCGTGATACTTGTCTTCTTATTGGTCAACTATTTGAGAAGATGACAGTGTATTTGGCTCCAACTCTCCCTTGAAACTGTTGGTAAAGAACTAAAAAATAACATACATCTTGATAATAATGTCCGACAGAGTATATTCCCAAGTATTAATGAACCTTTGGAAGTTTGCTAGGAATATTTACCTTTTAAATTTGATTTGAAGTCAATACTAGGATAATACTACTGCTATAATGATAATATTCCATATCTGTAGCAGAAAAATGATACCAAAACAAAAAACTCCTGTTTGGAAATCATGTCAATATAAATGACAGTCAACCAATGAAGACGAGACAAATTGTGCGCACACGCTCAAAAGAAAAAAGAACAAAAAATTAGCATTTGTGGGTGTCATTTTGTGTGAAGTTCAAAATTTAAAGCTAGTTTCAATCATCATTGCAGAAAATGCATGGACAAACAAAGAGAACCGAAATGCAATGTAGAAAAGGAGAGCAAGTTCACGGAGTATATAATTTTTGAAAGGACAAAGAAAGATTCCAATACCTTACCAGTTTTGCAAAGTTCCCTGCTGTCAAAGGTGCTGAATATCCATCTATAACAACCTGGATGGATACATGTTTGTGATCCAATCAGCATAGACACTATGAGAACAAAGTAAAACAGCAACTAAACCCTTTGGTTATCTGGGCATCAGCTACTCAAAAGAACAGAATAAACTGAATGAACATGTAACCCAGTACAAGTGGCACTATGCATGCATTTAGCTGTCCGTATGTTAGGTTCACTTGGAAGGGCCATTCATTTTCTTTCATTTTCAATTTGTTTTCAACGTGAATTAGTTCAATTTTTATTTTTCCAATGAAGCAAGCTCTATTTGCTTTCGCATTAATATTGGACACAGTAAGGATCTCTGGTCAGTGAAAACCCATCTTTCTCTCTATTTCAGGCAAAAACCTATCCTACGAGGTTTGTCTGCCTATTTCCATCTTTCACTTTCTTATTTCTCTCCACATTTAAAGTTTTCNGGTCAGTGAAAACCCATCTTTCTCTCTATTTCAGGCAAAAACCTATCCTACGAGGTTCGTCTGCCTATTTCCATCTTTCACTTTCTTATTTCTCTCCACATTTAAAGTTTTCGGATATATAAATATGAAGAATGAAAAAGAATGCATTCCATATCCAAACAACCCCTTAATTAAACTGCATAGTTGAGCTATAGTTAACTGAAGAGATTGTTACACTATCAGAATCTAATGAGAAACCACTATAACAACAAGGTGAACAATGAAAAATAATAATTNCAAGAAAAACTCAAAAACAATACACATGAATAAGTTCAATTCTACAAGATAATCCCTTCACTTTGTCTAATTTATCTTTAAAAGCAACACACATCATGACTCCACAAACTATAACAAACACTTCAAAAAAACCTTTTCCTAGCCANAAGAAAAACTCAAAAACAATACACATGAATAAGTTCAATTCTACAAGATAATCCCTTAACTTTGTCTAATTTATCTTTAAAAGCAACACACATCATGACTCCACAAACTATGACAAACACTTCAAAAAAACCTTTTCCTAGCCATTGCAGTGAGCTA